TAACAGCAGGGGCCCCCATGGAGGGGCCCCCCACCCAGGGGGCCCCCCTGTTGGTTTTAGGCTCTGAGGCAGTAAGGCCCCGCTGCTGCTGCTGCTGTTGCTGCTGCTGTTGCTGCTGCTGTTGCTGCTGTTGCTGCTGCCTTGCTGCTTAATCACTCCTAATTTATTTATTTGCTATGTTAGATCCGTGCATGCAAGCATAAAAGTATTTTAAATTAATTGATTAAATGTATTTTCCGTTTTATTCCATTTGCCAAATTTGTTCATGTTTCTGCGGTGTATGTACACCTGAAGCTCTCAATGCGCGTATAATTGTGGAGTTTAAATGAAAATATTATTTTATTTATTTTAATTAATTAATATATTTATTAGAATTAATTAAAGTTCTTTTGTTGAAAAAAAAGATAAAATGAAATATTTCATTTTACGCCAAAAATGGTTTTTTCGTTTTTCAGCTGTCTGCACACCTGAAGTGTTCGCGGAGTTGAATAAATAAAAATCTTTTTAATAAAAAATCAAATGAATAAAACATGTTAATAAATATCTTTTTATTGTTATACAAATCAATAGATAAAAAGAGGTGCATGCCCAGCAGCAGCAGCAGCTGCAGCTCCAGCAGCTGCAGTAGCAGCAGCAGCAAATGCAGTTAAGAGCAGCTTTTTGTTTTGTTTCTTTGTTTTTCTGCAGCCTCTTGTCTCTTTACTAGATGTGTCTTGTTTTCGAATTGCTGCTGCTTATCCGCTGCCGAGTCCGGTGACATCCCTGGCGGCGCCTGCAGCAGCAGCAGCAGCAGCAGCAGCAGCAGCAGCAGCAGCAGCAGCAGACGCAGTTTCGCTGATCCCTCTGGGCTGCGCTGACGGCAGCATCAGATTTCTGGACACAAGAATTGCTGCTCCTCTTGCTGCTGCTGTCTCTGTATTTTCCACTCCAGTCTCTTTTATTTCAGCAGCAGCGGCAGCAGCAGCAAATGCCTTGCTGGCCTGTGGGGCCCCACACCTGCTTCCGGGGGACCCCCTGGGTACTGCCCCCTGGGGGCCCCCCTCGCCCAGGGGGCCCCCAGGGGGGCCCCCCTCGGGGTGCCCCCGAAGGGGTTCTTTTGGGGCCCCAAGGCGGGGAGGGGGGCCCCACAGGAGCAGCAGCAAAAGCTGCTGCTTCCTAGACCTCAGAATGGGGAGAGACTGTCTCTTTATAGTTGATTTGTTTCCTTCTTCTATGCCTCTTAGCTGCTTCCTGCGCTGCAGCAGCAGCAGCAGCAGCAGCAGCAGCAGCTGTCTGGCCTTGGGCGTCTCGAGCGACGGCTGCGTGCTCCAGGCAGACCTCTCGCGGCTGCACCTGCTGCCGCCCCACAACAGCAGCAGCAGCAGCAGCAGCAGCAGGGGATTCGCAGATGCTGCTGCTGCTGGGGCCCTCGAGGCTCTCCCGCTGCTGCCGCTAGAGGGGCCCCTCACTGCTGCTGCATGCAGCCCCACAGGTTCTCTTTTGGCGCTGTGTGAGTGGGGGGGAAGGGTGCAGCTGCTGCAGCAGCAGCAGCAGCAGCAGCAGCTGTTGATCCTTGACCCGGCAGCAAGGCAAGCTGCTATCGAGGCGGCCCTGGAGCGCCAGCAGCAGCAGCAGCAGCAGCAGCAAGCAGAAGAACAGGGCGCGCTCGCCAGCAGCAGCTGCAGCAGCAGCAGCAGCAGCGGGGACCTTTGGGGCCCCCTTCCGGGCCTGGATGATTTCCTGCTGCTGTCGGAAAACCCAGCAGCAGCTGCTGCTGC